CCGGCACCTTTTTCCGGGCCGGCCGCACCGGAAATAGCCCCTCCCACACCGGAAATAGCCCCTCCCAAATTTTACTTGCATTCCTGTTCTCTAAAGGGGCGGTCCTAGGGTTTGATGAGGGCGTGGCCAGGTTTGAGTTCCGCCACCTTTTCTCCGAGAAAAAAAGCCCTGATTATTATTATTATTATTATTATTATTACAGACACACACACACACACACACTGATGGATACCTGCATCCAGTCACAGAAAAAGTTATCCCGGAAAATCTTCTTGCGTGCGTAGTCTTCGTCCAGCATCTTGGCGAAAAACGTCGCCACTTCCTCGGCAGCCCGGCTGAGCTTCACAGACCTGCCTGCAACAGAGGAGGGTGGCCATCTGGTGATCATGGGGGCTGGGGGGGGCATGATTGCCCCTCTATCACACTAAGAGCCAACCCTTCCCTCCAGCCGTCTACGAAGTTCTGGAGATGCCACCACACGCCGCTTCTCCTCCACCTGGGCTGCAAATCCAGAGAGGACCACCTACCGTTGTAGTAGAACTTGACGGAGGTGGGCAGAGGCTGGTAAGGTGGTGCCAAGTAGGGACCCCTGTGGTGCAACTGGTGCCATTTGACGCCGTTGTCGTCTCGTTTCTCCTCCTCCCACCTGGCGGGAGAAAGTTTAGCAAGGGTTAAGGTCCTCCGAGAAGGTTTTTATCCCTGAATGCCAACCTTCTCCAACCGTACCCTGGGCCTCTCCCAGACATGTGGGGACCGCAACTCCCAGCCTTCCAGGGCATTCTGGGAGAGGTGGGGTTCACACATGTTCCTGGGAGCCACCAGGTTGTGGAAGGCTGATAGGTGTGCCTTTAATCCCCAGTTCACACAGCTGGCTGAGGGATTCTGGGAGTTGAAGTCCACAAGTCTTAAAAGTTCCCAAGGTTGGACACTCCTGGTATAGGGTCTCCTGCCTGAGCAGGGGGCTGGACTAGATGACCTCCAAGGTCCCTTCCAACTCATATGTCATAATTTTATTCTTTTCTGACACAAAAATGTCCATCTTTCTAATAGATAGATAGATAGGTAGGTAGGTAGGTAGGTAGGTAGGTAGGTAGGTAGGTAGGTAGGTAGATAGATAGATAAAAATGTAAATGTTCGTTTGTTCAAAATCTTAAATCTCCGAAAGTTCTTCACCAATTGCTTTGAAATTTTGACACAACGTTGCATTCAAATACGTGCGTGTTTTTATATACCTACTATTATATAGATGTCACACCTGTGACAGGTAAAAACATGCTTTTTTTGAAAAACAGCGCTATCTGTTGGACGTAAAAGCAACACACGCTAGCATTGTGAAATTAAACATATTATAAATGTGTGCTTTCTCTTTTCTTTCTTTTACATTTAACCAGACTGAACCACAGCAACGCGTGGCCGGGTACAGCTAGTATAGATATATATATATATATAGAGAGAGAGAGATGGACATTTTTGTGTCAGTTAAAAAAGAATATATATACACACACGCACACAAACATTTATATTTATATCTATATTACAAAACCCCCAAAGACTGACAACTGTTTTTTCCTACTATCGCGTAACTCAAAAGTTAGGTTTCTGGATAGTCTCCTTGCCGTCCCAAGCCCTTTGCATCATGTACCCCTGAAGAGTGAATTTAGAATTGTCACAATCTCAGTGACAAAACATTAATGAGGAACAGAACAGAACAGAGTAGAATAGAAAATGAATACAGTAGAGTAGAGTAGAGTAGAGTAGAGTAGGGTAGGGTAGGGTAGGGTAGGGTAGGGTAGGGTAGGGTAGGGTAGGGTAGAGTAGAGTAGAGTAGAGTAGAGTAGAGTAGAGTAGAGTAGAGTAGAGTAGAGAATAGAATAGGGAATAGAATAGAATAGAATAGAATAGAATAGAATAGAATAGAATAGAATGGAATGGAATGGAATGGAATTGGAATTGGAATGGAATAGAATAGAATAGAATAGAATAGAATAGAATAGAATAGAATAGAATAGAATAGAATAGAATGTTGGAAGGGACCTTGGAGGTCTTCTAGTCCAACCTCCTGCTCAGGCAGGAAACCCTAAACAATTTCAGACAAATGTCTGTCCAGTCTCTTCTTAAAAGCCTCCAATGTTGGAGCACCCACAATTTCTGGAGGCAAGTTCCAACTGATTAACTGTTCCAACTGTCAGGAAATTTCTTCTTAGTTCTAGGTTGCTTCTCTCCTTGATCAGGGGAGTTAATGCTAATCAGGGTCACCCTGTCCACAGATGCAAACCAAACGTTGCAAATGCCGGGCCTTCGTACCCCAAGCCCAGATCTCCAAGGTTTCCAACCAAATTCAACAAGTAGATCTTGCTCTAACCTAAACTAACCACAAAGATTTTGAGGGCTCTCTATTTACAAACTTAAAGGTAGGCCAGTAGTTTCATATCTGCTCACGGAGAATGTAAATTTGGGGACACTCTTGATGTTGAAAAGTAACGTCAGCCCCAACTTCCTAATTCTTCCTCAAAGTATGTCGTCTAATAATCTTCTCTAATCCTAAATATGGTACTCAAAAATGTTATGGGCTTGCACGTTCCAACGTTAGGGGGGTTTAAATCGGGGAGAAATGAAGGAATTCACCATCCAGATTCTGAGCGCTTTTCCGAAGATTTGGAAGTTTTCTCTTCAAATCAAAAGTTTGTGACATTTGTCAGTAAGAATTCTATTTAAACGAGAAATCGTTTTTACACAAGCTGACTGTGAATCTCAAAGAGAGAGCTGCAGAAAAGCAAATACATTTTTAACTTGCTTCCAGATAAGCACGCAGGACTTCAAACAACTTACCGCATTCCTAGGAAGCACCATTTTTAAAAATAAAATAAAATAAAAATAAAAGTACTGAGGACTAGCACCTTGGACTAAAAGACTTCCAAGGTCCCTTCCAGCCTTATAATCCTACTATTTCCCAATTAAGCCATGGTTCTAGTAAGAATACTTAGCTAGACCTCACCTCCGATATATCCAGTTCTAGCACTTCATTGTCAAGAAAAATGCAGCAAAATCCAAAGGAAATTATAAAGCGCACCCACCAGTCTTGTCTCTTTCATGCTTTATGCTCAGCAACCCTAGAGAGCCTTGCACGCTCATGCACGCCCATGCACACCCGCAAAACACGTGTCTCCGCTGGCAAACCTGGAATACCTCGCTTTGGGGACCAGCACCCCACTTTTAAGAAAAATGCAGCAAAATCCAAAGAAAATTATAAAGCGCACCCACCAGTCTTGTCTCTTTCATGCTTTATGCTCAGCAACCCTGGAGAGCCTTGCACGCTCATGCACGTCCATGCACACCCGCAAAACACGTGTCTCCGCTGGCAAACCTGGAATACCTCGCTTTGGGGACCAGCACCCCACTTTTAAGAAAAAATGCAGCAAAATCCAAAGAAAATTATAAAGCGCACCCACCAGTCTTGTCTCTTTCATGCTTTATGCCCAGCAACCCTGGAGAGCCTTGCACGCTCATGCACGTCCATGCACACCCGCAAAACACGTGTCGCCGCTGGCAAACCTGAACATACCTCGCTTTGGGGACCAGCACTCTGATGCACGCTGCACAAATCCGGGTGAAAGTCAGAGGCGCAACCTGGCGTGGGGAGCGCGCCCAGTGTGCCAGGCTGCGCCCATGCTGGAGCATCCCTTGCCAGCCCAGTCATGTGCAACTGGCCACATGGATGGACTGGGCGGTGATGGCTGGGAGAGGCGGATAATCCCGATTGAGCAATCCTTGTTTTGCAAACATTTTAATTTTTGCAAAATTATCCAGGGTTCGCCTGGTGCTTTTCCCTGCACGGGGCATGGTGCAAAAAAAGAGGCAGCCCACGACAAATGCTCGACCCTGCTAAAGGTCTCTTTGCTAAGAGACGCCGGTGCAATTACCACCACCCCCCCTCAATGGCCTTTGCCCCGAGGCAGCTGGGAAATGTAGTCCTGTTAAGGGTTTCCTGGCTTAGGAGCAACTAATAGATGCCAGAGCAATCGAGCTCACTTAAAGAGACAGGCGTCATTCTTAGGAAGTCACGCTGGGATCAAGTGTTTCTCAACCTTGTCCGTTTTAAAGACGGGTGGGCTTCAATTCCCAGAATTCCCCAGCCTGCATGCTTTAAGATGGGTGGACTTCAGCTCCCAGAATTCCCTAGCCAGCATGCTGTAAGATGGGTGGACTTCAATTCCCAGAATTCCCTAGCCAGCATGCTGTAAGATGGGTGGACTTCAATTCACGGAATTTCCCAGCCAGCATGCTTTAAGATGAATGGACTTCAATTCCCAGAATTCCCCAGCCAGCATGCTGTAAGATGGGTGGACTTCAATTCACGGAATTTCCCAGCCAGCATGCTTTAAGATGAATGGACTTCAATTCCCAGAATTCCCCAGCCAGCATGCTTTAAGATGGGTGGACTTCAACTCCCAGAATTCCCTAGCTAGTAGGCTTTAAAATGAGTGGACTTCAATTCCCAGAATTCCCCAGCCAGGAGGTTGTAAAGCTTTGGACTTCAACTCCCAGAATGCTGGCTGGGGAATTCTGGGAAGCCACCCATTTTTTTAAAGGAACCAAGGTTGAGAAACACTGCATCTATGCACCCCATTTTCTTGCACATTGGCTCAGAAGGAAGCAAATAGGCTCAGACGGGATTACTCAGGAGTAAAAGTCTACAGGATGGCAGTTTCAACTGATTGCAAATGGAGGGGGAGGGGGGAGGAGGAGGAAAAGGAGAGCCATGTTAGTCAAGAGGGGGACAGGAGCTGAGGAAATTGGGGGCATCTTTTCCAGCATATAATCTGATCGAAAGTAAGAAGATTTAGTCAATTGTAGTTCCCTTGATCAGATGCACAGAGGGGATGGCTGGGGAATTCTGGGAATCTGCCCATCTTAAAGTTTAAGGGATTTTTGGGCTAGAGCCGCTAGACTGAGGTAGGATTTAAGCTGGGATCAGCTAAACTCTAAGCCTCTAAGGTCCAGGGGTAGGCAACCTTGGCTCTTTTATGACTCGTGGACTTCAACTCCCAGAATTCCTGAGCCAGCATGGGGGAACTATGGCCCCTTCATGACTTATGGACTTCAACTCCCAGAATTCCTCAGCCAGCATGGGGGAATTACGGCCCCCTCATGACTCGTGGACTTCAACTCCCAGAATTCCTGAGCCAGCATGGGGGAACTATGGCCCCTTTATGACTTATGGACTTTAACTCCCAGAATTCCTGAGCCAGCATAGGGGAACTATGGTCCCTTTATGACTCGTGGACTTCAACTCCCAGAATTCCTGAGCCAGCATGGGGGAACTATGGCTCCTTTATGACTTGGGGACTTCAACTCCCAGAATTCCTGAGCCAGCATGAGGGAACTATGGCTCTTTTATGACTCGTGGACTTCAACTCCCAGAATTCCTGAGCCAGCCATTCTGAGGGGAAAGGGAGAGGTTTCCAAGCTGAGCCATGCTGGCTCAGGAATTCTGGGAGTTGAAGTCCACCAGTCATAAAAGAGCCAAGGTTGCCTACCCCTCCCCCCAAAGCTTTCATCCTGCAATAAAATTTGTCAGTTGGGAAAGGGGCTTCCTTCTGATTTTTAATTGCAATTCACAATTGCAATTTTTAATCCATCCAGTAATTTTGTTGCCAAGTGATGGCTTTTTTTTTAATGAGCAATGTGTAACAATTTGATCCGTCTCTGTCCTCTCTAATGGGCTATTCTACAGAATTCAACATGGCAGTTCCTTCTGGGAGTTGTAGTCCAGACACCAATGCATTCTGGGAGTTGTAGTCCACGGCACTAGATTGAAAGAACTACCAAAAAACCCCCAAAAAATCCAAAACTGAACCCTTGGGTGCCATCTAGTGGATAAATATAAGAACAGGAATAAACCAACATAATGATTACGAAACTTGCTGTAAACAAAGAAGAGTCTACAATAGCCAAAAAAAATCAGTAGCAATAACAAACAAATTCAGAAAAAGTCTGGCAGCACCTAGTAAAACTAACCCATTGCATTCTAAGGCATAATTTTTATTAAAAAGCTTAACAATTTTTTAATAATTGGAATTGACTTATAACTTATTGGTCATTCTTATTACACAACTCACGAAAGCTCATCGCTTTTCAATGTCTTTTCAAATCAATGTAGAAACCCTTGCAGATTCAATAAATAGATCTTGACCTACAGATAGCTAGAATCAAGATCACATTAAGTGTTAATGCCACTTTGTAACACTTTGGTAAGGCCACACTTGAAATACTGCATCCAGTTTTGGTCACCATGATGTAAAAAAAGATGTTGAGACTCTAGAAAGAGTACAGAGAAGAGCAACAAAGATGATTAGGGGACAAGAGGCTAAAACATATAAAGAACAGTTGCTGGGATTGGGGATGTCTAGTCTAATCAAGAGAAGGACGAGGGGTGACATGATAGCAGTCTTCCAATCTCTCAGGGGCTGCCCCAAAGAAGAGGGAGTCAAGCTATTCTCCAAAGCACCTGAAGGAGGACAAGAAGCAACGGATGGAAACTCATCAAGGAGAGAAGCAACCTAGAACTCAGGAGAAACTTCCTGACAGTGAGGACAATTAACCAGTGGAACAACCTGCCTCCAGAAGCGGTGAATGCTCCAACACTGGAAGTTTTTAAGAAGAGATGGGACAACCATTTGTCTGAAATGGTATAGGGTTTCCTCCCTGAGCAGGGGGTTGGACTAGATGACCTCCAAGGTCCCTGCCAACCCCCCCCCACCTGATGGAATGACACACAGAATTAGGTTCCTTCCAATCTCATAAACCATAAATAGTAATGTAGGAATTCAGCACACGCACCCTGCCCCGTCCTTGGAGGATATTTAAAAAGGCAGGATAGAATATTTCTCCTAAAGGAGAAATGGAGAAAAAAATTTTTAACAAAGGCAGAAACAGCCCCAGTCTTCGGGAAAAACCTGAGGAGGCCAATCTTTAGAAATAGAGTTGTTGTAATCTGTTCAGAAAAACTGGGCCAGACTATTCATAAGCAAAACCCCTTCAGCCACAGCTCCCACAGATGGCTGGAGCTGATGGGATTGGAAAAACAAAGACTCCTAAAATCTACATTCCCCAGCCAGCTCCAAGGACAGGGCATGACCTCCAAGCCACAGTGGGAGTCAGGCAACAATAATTAGAATACCAAAAGGGCACACTGGAGCACAGGTCAAAGTACATTTCACAACTGGCATCTCAAATACAAAGCCCAAAGGAGATATTAAAAACCCACCCATTCTCAACTCCATTTTGTCAGCTGTCCCAGAACTGCATGCTGTTGCTGGTTCTGCTCATCGATAAACAGAAACCTTCTTTCCTAAGCAGCCTCCATTTTATTTCCAGCGTCTTACTCCTGGCTTGGAACATGACCAGATTTTTCTTTCAACAGTAGCTAGCTCAGTATTCCCATCTCATCAACTTTAAGACGGATGAACTTCAACTTCCAGAATTCCTGAGCTGAGCTGGCTGGGGAATTCTAGGAGTTGAAGTCAACCCGTCTTAAAGTTGCCAAGGTTGGGGAAAACATGGGGCTAGCCATCCACTATGTTTCTTAGAGCGCAACAGGTAGAGCAATTAATTTCTCCTTTGAAAGGACATTAATCGCTTGAGAAAATAGCAAGACAGAAGGGGCTGTCCTATCAAAACCAGTTATACCACCAGCACCAAATGGTCCCAATCAGGAAGTTCACTTAGTTGAACAGGAAGACACTTATCAGTCAAACCAGCTCCATAATTTCATGCCTGCATGAAAGATTTAAGAGATATTTCTTACAGGCAACTCCTATAATTTAGCCTACTCACTTAATTTCATTGTGAGTTAAGATTATTCTATTCTATTCTATTCTATTCTATTCTATTCTATTCTATTCTATTCTATTCTATTCTATTCTATTCTATTTTATTCCACTCCACTCCACTCCATCCACTCCATTCCATTCCATTCCATTCTATTCTATTCTATTCTATTCTATTCTATTCTATTCTATTCTATTGTCTTCTGTTCTGTTCCATTCTGTTGTTCTGTTCCATTCCATTCTGTTCATTCCATTCCATTCCGTTCCATTCTATTCTACAATCTGTTCTATTCCATTCCACTCCATTCCACTCCACTCCATTCCACTCTACTCCATTACATTACATTACATTACATATATTCTATTTTATTCTATTTTATTCTATTCTATTCTATTCTATTCTATTCTATTCTACTCTATTCTATTCTAATTCTATTCTATTCTATTCTATTCTATTCTATTCTATTCTATTCTATTCTGTAATTCTATTCTGTTCTGTTCTGTAATTCTATTCTATTCTATTCTGTAATTCTATTCTGTTCTATTCTATTCTATTCTGTAATTCTGTTCTGTAATTCTATTCTGTTCTATTCTATATCTACCTTGCCATCTGAAAAACAGTCAGAATTCTCATCTTGGTAGGGACAAAGTCAACGGGACGTTCAACCCATCAACCAAGGTCATTTTCACCCCTTAATCGCCTCAATAAATAATTCCACTGTTAGCACCGGCTGTGTAAAATTGGGCGAGGGACTTCAATAACAGATTTAAGATCAGAAACCTTCTTTTGCCGTCAACGCCAAGTGCAGAAATCACTCCAACGATAAACGTACCATCTCCACTTGTCTTCCTCGGCTTTGGATCTTCTCCCACAATTTCCATCCTCCTTCTTTTTTTTCTTCTTCTTCAAAGTCTTATCCACTTCCTCGTTTTTTCTTTTCCGGGATCCCCTGAGAAATTCTACATTTCGAACCCCTCTTTTGCTTCTGATTCTCTTGGTCTTTTTTCCTACTCCGTCTTGTAGGGCTCCTTGGCCTCCTGTTGCTTCTTCTTCTTCTTCTCCTTCTTCTTCAGAGTCACCTTCCAGCTTGACCTCAAATGGTGCCCCGACTCCAGACTCACCTTCTATCCTTTCTTCCTCCTCCGTCTCCTTTCCCAGATGAGGCAATTCCTCACCTGTCCGTTCTCTGTCCACCTCTCTCTCGCCTTCCCACTCCTTCTCCGTCTTGACCACAATGTTCTGCTCAGCTCTTTTCCTGTCCACCACGCCTTCTCCCTCTCCTGGTCCAATATTCTCCTCCAACTGCTTGTCATTGTTCTTCTCTTCTTCTGTTCCTCTGAAATCCTTCTTCTTCGCACTTTCGGTGGCTCTGCTTTCTCTTTTCTCCTCTTGTGTTGAATGACCTTCGGCCTCTACTTTTCCACCACCAGTTCGCTCTTTCTTTCTTCTCCTTTCCTCCACCAGCCCATCACTTGGGAAGGAATCTGCAGCTTGCTCCCGCGGTTCAGTCACCTGTTAAAAGAAAATGGGAATGACTTTATAGGCAAAGAAAAGAAGAAATAGGGGAGACATGAGAGTATCTGAGAGGCTGCCACAAAGAAGAGGGGGTCACGTTATTCTCCAAAGCACCTGAAGGCAGGACAAGAAACAATGGTTGGAAACTATCAAGGAGAGAAGCAACCTGGAATTAAGGAGAAACTTCCTGACAGTGAGGACAATTAACCAATGGAAGATTTTTAACATACACCTTAATATTTGGTAAACATCTTGTTGTTTGAGTTAATGTTTAGAAAATAATCAATAACAATTAATTTCTATAATTCTATAGTCCCTGTGATAGATAGATTACTTGATTTCCTCTTCTTCCAATAATAGTTTCTTTCGCCAACTTTAAACGAATACAATTCTTATTTAAATAAATGACAATTAAATATAAACATTTGTCTCACGTTTCTGCAAGTAATAACCACGTCAGTAGAAAGCGTCTTTTCATTGATCATCTTGATTGCCTCATCACAAGTCTTGTTTACATTCTCATTTAAATTTATTTTTCCCACAATATCCAAAACATTCTTACGGGTTAAGTTTTTCTCAAAATTAGTTATACTTAAGCTTTAAATCTTTTTTCTCATACCAGCCACAACATTTTAACATTTCTCATATCTTAAAAAAAAAATAAGAGCAAAAGAAGAAAGAAAAAAAGACAAAACAGAGAAATAGAATAGAATAGAAAATATGGAATGGAATGGAATGGAATGGAGTAGAGTAGAGTGGAGTGGAGTGGAGTGGAGTGGAGTGGAATGGAGTGGAATGGAATGGAATAGAAAATAGAATAGAGTAGAGTAGAGTAGAATAGAATAGAATAGAATAGAATAGAATAGAATAGAATAGAATAGAATAGAATAGAATAGAATACAGAACAGAACATAATTGAATTACAGAACAGAACAGAATAGAACTACAGAATAGAATAGAATAGAATAGAATAGAATAGAATAGAATAGAATAGAATGGAGTGGAGTGGAGTGGAGTGGAGTGGAGTGGAATGGAATGGAATGGAATAGAAAATAGAATAGAGTAGAGTAGAGTAGAGTAGAGTAGAGTAGAGTAGAGTAGAGTAGAGTAGAGTAGAGTAGAGTAGAGTAGAGTAGAGTAGAATAGAATAGAATAGAATAGAATAGAATAGAATAGAATAGAAAATATGGAATAGAATGGAATGGAATGGAATGGAATGGAATGGAATAGAAAATATGGAATGGAATAGAATGGAACAGAACAGAATAGAATAGAATAGAGCTGGAAGGGACCTTGGAGGTCATCTAGCAGGAGTCCCTACACGATTTCTGACAGATGGCAGTCCAGTCTCTTCTTGAAAACTTCCAGTGATGAAACTCCCACAACATCTGAAGGCGATCTTCATGTGTTTTAGCTTCATATGTTTGTTTGTACCAGCACTAGCTCTGTCTCTATTGTAGGGTTAAAGTAGTAACGTCTTGCAAGATCGAAAACACTTCTTACCACCCACCCCTCTTTTTACTCTCTGGACAGGGGCCCGAGTCCTTCCCACGCCCCTTTTCCTGCTATGGACTGAGACATCCTTTATCCGCCAGTTGTCCGGCCTGCAGCTCTTCCTCCCGTCTCCCAAGGCCATTCCCACTAAACCAGGAGTCCCCAACCCCCGGCCCGTGGACCGGTACCAAGCCGCGGCATGCCAGCAACTGGTCCACACAAACAAGCAACGCCCCATCTGTGGGATGCAGGCAGCACACAAAACCACGTGCTCTCCGGTCCGTGGAAAAACCTTTCTCCATGGAACCGGTCTCTGGTGCCCGAAAGGTTGGGGATCTCTGCATTACACAACTAAATGCAACTACTACACAAAATTCCACTTTGCTTACTGCCTTATTCCCACGCCCGGCCACGCATGTGCCCTCCTTTATCTGCAGCTTGATCTTCTTTGCCCTGGGCTCTTCTCTGAAACACAAACACAGCAAAAGGCATCTTCAGAAGGGTGCATAAAACTCAGGCACATCTTCCCCAAACGAGGCACAGGATAGCAACTTTCCAGAAAGCTGAAAGGTGTTAGGGTCACGGGAAAGTCCCACCCCCACCCCCACTGCCTCCCATGGCGCAATTCCCATCCCATCCAGCCCTATCCTCCATGCCAGGGGATGGGCACCCTACGGCAACGGGACCATCTGCAGATATTCCACTCCCAGAATTCCCTAACCAACATGGGAGTTAGTTAGCAATGAAAACTCTGGGTCCCGTTGTGGACTCTCTTGGGACTATCTGCGCTGACCTCATTTTAAACCATTTGTCTGAAATGGTATATAGGGTTTCCTGCCTGAGCGGGGGGCTGGGCTAGAAGACCTCCAAGGTCCCTTCCAGCTGTGTTATTCTATTCTATTCTAAATCTGTGCAGTCCTTTGGAGGGAAGGGATTAACCTTCCTGCAGATTTTGTGCTCTGAAAACAAAACAGATCAACATTGAGCAGGGGGCTGGACTAGAAGACCTCCTAAGTCCCTTCCAGCTCCATTCTATTCTATATCCTTTTCTATTCTATTCCTATTCCTTATCCTATTCCTTATTCTATTCTATTCCTATTCCTTATTCTATTCCTTATTCTATTCCTTATTCTATTCCTTATTCTATTCTATTCTTTATTCTATTCTATTCTATTCCTTATTCTATTCTATTCTATTTCATATTTTCCATTCCATTCCATATTTTCTGTTCTGTTCTGTTCTGTTCTGTTCTGTTCTCTATTCTATTCTATTCTATTCCATTCCATTCCATTCCATTCCATTCCATATTTTCTCTTCTCCTCTCCTCTTCTTTTCTCTTCTCTTCTCTTCTCTTCTCTTCTCTTCTGTATTTCTATTTTATTCTGTATTTCTATTTTATTTTGTAATTCTATTCTATTCTGTAATTCTATTCTATTCGATTCGATTCAATTCAACTCGATTCGATTCCATATTTTCTCTTCTCTTCTCTTCTCTTCTCTTCTCCTCTTCTCTTCTCTTCTCTTGTCTTCTCTTCTGTATTTCTATTTTAGTCTGTATTTCTATTCTATTCTGTAATTCTATTCTATTCTATTCTATTCCATATTTTCTCTTCTCTTCTTCTCTTCTCTTCTGTATTTCTATTTTATTCTGTATTTCTACTTTATTTTGTAATTCTATTCTATTCTATTCTATTCTCTATTCGCTATTCGCTAATCGCTATTCCATTCTATTCTCTATTCCATTCTATGGTGACATGAACGTGTTGAGGACACGGTGGCCCCATAGTTCTCATAATTACTGTTTTTGGGAAGTAGCCAAGATTTTGAAAAGTCCGGTGCGAAAGAAAGACACGTTCCAATTTTACCTCAGATAAGGAACGCCGCATCCATTGCACAAGGTGGAATCCATGGCACCCTCAAGAGATCTGGAAGAAGAAGTGAAAAGAATTTAAGATGGACATTCCCCCCCCCCAAAAAAAATATCATATCCATAACATGTGGGATTTTAAAAACTGGGAAAATCTTCTGGAACAGCAACACACAAATCAATCAATCAATTTTAGATATGTACCGATGGGCCTTGACCTAAGAGCACCAGTGAGCCCAAAGTCTCCACTGCTAAGCAAAGCAGTTGCGAAGTGAATTGTGTGTCCCGTTTTACAGTCTTTTCTTGCTGTCCTAAAAATCAGGTGGGACTCGTCTCTTGACATGGTTGTTAAGTGAATCTCTGCAGTTGTTAAGGGAATCACACGGTCATTAAGCGCTCCTTACTAGCACTGATGTTATTCCCTAGTTTGGGTAACGAAATGTCTGCAAGAAAACCAGCAAGCTCAGAGAGCACCAAGAGTCCCATAGTCGTCGTTCTCCTCCTCCTCCTCTTCCTCCTCCTCCCTCCTCCTTTTTCTCCTCCTCCTCCTCCTCCTCCTCTTCTTCCTCCTCCTCCTCCTCCTCCTCCTCTATTCTAGTACTGATGATGTTATCTAGTTGGGTAATGAAATGTCTGCAAGAAAACAAGCAAGCTCAGAGAGCACCAAGGGCCCCAGAGTCTTCACCCTCCTTCTCCTCTTCCTCCTCCTCCTCCCTCCTCCTCTTCTTCTTCCTCCTCCTCTTCCTCCTCTTCTTCTTCCTCCTCCTCTTCCTCCTCCTTTTCCTCCTCCTTTCTCCTCTCCCTCCTCCTCCTCCTCTTCCTCCTCCTCGTCCTCCTCCTCTTCTCCTCCTTCCTCTTCCTCCTCCCTCTTCCTCCTCCTTCTCCTCCTTCTCTTCCTCCTCTTCCTCCTCCCTCCTCCTCCTCTCCCTAACCACCACTCCCTTCTAGCCCTGATGATGTTACCTAGTTAGGGTCATGAAACGTCCGCAAGAAAACCAGCAAGCTCAGAGAGCACCAGGGATCCCTCATTTCAACCCTGAGCTACAGAGATTCTCCCTTCATTGGTTACTTCTCCACGCTGCCCTCTTTCCTTCTCCCCATCCCGTGCTTCCTTCACACCCACATCCATATCAATTCTGCCACCCTCATGGAATCAGACGTCTTAAGTCCCAAGCAGATTCTGCCTCCACCTGACCTCCATCTACGTTCAGGACTCCGTGTTTAAGAAGTCATGAGTTCAGAAGAAGGAGTCCAGTTATTCTCCAAAGCGCCTGAAGGCCGGACGAGAAGCAACAGATGGAAACTAATCAAGGAGAGAAGCAACCTGGAACTAAGGAGAAACTTCCTGACAATGAGAACAATTAACCAGTGGAACCACCTGCCTCCAGAAGTGGTGAATGCTCCAACACTGGAAGTTTTTAAGAAGAGACTGGACAGCCATTTGTTGGAAATGGTATAGGGTTTCCTGCCTGAGCAAGGGGTTGGACTAGATGATCTCCAGGGTCCCTTCCAACTTTATTATTATTATTATTATTATTATTATTATTATTATTATTATTATTATTATTATTATTATTATTATTATTATTATTATTATTATTATTATTATTATTATATGACAAGCCATGAAGAGGAACGTAGTATGACTTTTACCTCGAGAAATGTAGACGGAGGGGATGAAGGAAGACCTTGTTTCCTGCTGGCCAGAAATCCAGGTGAGATAAAGGGGCTTAAAAAAATGAGGAAGGCTGATTGAGGTTCAGTCTCAAGAGAGATGGGCTTAGATGGGTCATGAGTCATGGATGATCTCTCTCTTGCTGAAGGTCCTCAAATCAAGGTGAGCAGAGACTTAACTGGCTCAACTAGGTGGTGGCCTCCAAGACCAGCTTCATGGGTCTATGAGGTCACAAATCGCATAAGGCTTTGACTTGCTCGATGGTGATTGGTTGACTAAACTTCAGTTGGCTTAATTCATATGGCCTGCTCCATTGAAACCCATGAATCTATTTTATGACTCAATGAGCAATGAGTGAAAGGATCACTCGATCCCTAGAAGCCCCAACTCTCTCTTCACAAGCAATGGCCTGCACAAGATCCAGAGAATAGAATAGAATGGAATGGAATGGAATGGAATGGAATAGAATAGAATAGAATAGAATAGAATAGAATAGAATAGAATAGAATAGAATAGAATAGAATAGAATAGAATAGAAAATATGGACTGGACTAGAATAGAATAGAAGAGAAGAGAAGAGAAGAGAAGAGAAAAGAAAATGGAATAGAATAGAATAGAATAGAAAATATGGAATAGAATAGAATAGAATAGAATAGAATAGAATAGAATAGAATAGAATAGAATAGAATAGAAAATATGGACTGGACTAGAATAGAATAGAATAGAATAGAATAGAATAGAAGAGAAGAGAAGAGAAGAGAAGAGAAGAGAAGAGAAGAGAAGAGAAGAGAAGAGAAAAGAAAATGGAATAGAATAGAATAGAATAGAATAGAAAATATGGAATAGAATAGAATAGAATAGAATAGAATAGAATAGAATAGAAGCTGGAAGGGACCTTGGAGGTCTTCTAGTCCAGCCCCCTGCTCAAGCAGGAGAACCTATACCATTTCAGACAAGTGTCTAGTCTCGTCTTAAAACTCTCCAGTGATGGAGCGCCCACGATTTCTGGTGGCAAGCTGTTCCACTGGTTAATTGTCCTCGCTGTCAGGGAGTTTCTCCTTAATTCCAGGTTGCTTCTCTCTTTGGTCAGTTTCCAACTATTGTTTCTCATCCTTCCCTCTGGTAATTTGGAGAATAGTTTGATTCCCTCTTCTTTGGGGCAGCCCCTCAAATACTGGAACGCTGCTATCATGTCTCCCCTCCTTCTTCTTTTCTTTAGACTGGCCAAACCCAAGTCCTGCAGCCGTTCTTCGTATGTTTTAGTCTCCAGGCCTTGGATCATCTTAGTTGTTCTTCTCTGAACTTTTCCAAGGTCTCAATATCTTTTCTGTAGTATGGTGACCAAAATTGGTTGCAGTATTCTAGTTTGCTGGGATTTATACCGATAGTCTTCAACCAAGCAGAATCAAAAGAGGGTTATCTTGAGTCTCTTTCTCACTCACTCTACTTCCTGGGGTTAACACTCCTTAATTCCAGGTTGCTTGTCTCCTTGTTTACTTTCCATCCATTGCTCCTTGTCTTGCCTTGAGGTGCTTTGGAGAATACGCTGACCCCCCTCTTCTTTGTGGCAGCCCCTCAAATACTGGAAGACTGCTATCATGTCCCCCCTAGTCCTTGTTTTCTCAAGATTGGCCAAACCCAAGTCCTGCAGCCCTTCTTCGTATGTTCTAGTCTCCAGGCCTTTGAGCATCTTAGTTGCTCTTCTCGGAACTTTATCCAAAGTCTCCACCTCTTTTTTTCGAGTAAGGCGACCAAAATTGGTTGCGGTATTCCAGGTGGGATCTAGAAGACCTCCACGGTCCGTTTCAATTCTGTTATTCTGTCAACAGCCCAGCCATCCTTGAATCAGCAGAAACCGTGCACCACTGTTGGAAGAAAAGTCTTCATCGTGGTTCGGTCCAAGCCGGGAATAAACAAAACGGAGACTGCTTTAGAAAGAAGGTTGCAGTTTATTGAAGAGGAGAGCCAGACAGGAAGATGGCTCTGGAAGAAAAGAGAGAGAGAGAGAGACCATGTAGGGAGTGGGTTTTTATACCCTCTGGAGCCTTTTGTTTGTGGAGTTGTTCCTGGGGCATGAACTTTGACCTGAGTCTGAGTGTGCCTTTCTGGTATTTTGATGGTGGTGGGTTAATCTTATTATGTCCCAAAGGTCATATCCTGCTTCCCTGGGGTTGGGGCTAATGACTCTTAGAGTTTGGGTGAGGTATGCAGATTTTAGGCGTCTTTGTCTTCTTAATCTCCTAGCTCCCTGGATTTACATCTGCATCATTTTAAGAAAATTGGGCATGCTTTCCTGCCTCCAAGATCCTTGGAGGAAATATATGGTGAAAAAAGTAAGGTTCTACATTTAGGCAAGAAAAACCAAATGTACAGGTATAGTATAGGGGATGCCTTGCTCAATAGTAGCAACCGTGAGAGGGACCTCGGAGTCCTAGTGGACAATCCCTTAAATATGAGCCAGCCGTGTGCTGCAGCTGCCAAAAAGGCCAACACAGTGCTGGGCTGCATTAACAGAGGGATAGAATCAAGATCACGTGAAGTGTTAATACCACTTTACAAGGCCTTGGTAAGGCCACGCTTGGAATACTGCATCCAGTTTTGGTCACCACGATATAAAAAAGATGCTGAGACTCTAGAAAGAGTGCAGAGAAGAGCAACAAAGAGGATCAGGGGACTGGAGGCTAAAACATATAAGGAACAGTTGCTGGAATTGGGTCTGTCTAGTTTAACGAAGAGAAGGACGAGGGGGGACATGATAGCAGTCTTCCAATATCTCAGGGGCTGCCCCAAAGAAGAGGGAGTCAAGCTATTCTCCAAAGGGCCTGAAGGCAGGACAAGAAGCAACGGATAGAAACTGATCAAGGAGAAAAGCAACCTAGAACTAAGGAGAAACTTCCTGACAGTTAGAACAATTAACCAGCGGAACAACCTGCCTCCAGAAGCGGTGAATGCGCCAACACTGGAAGTTTTTAAAGAGAGACTGGACAGCCATTTGTCTGAAATGATTTCCTGCCTGAGCAGGGGGTTGGACTAGATGACCTCCAAGGTCCCTTCCGACTTTATCATCATCACAATCATCATCATCATCATCATCATTATATTATTATTATTATTATTATTATTATTATTATTATTATTATTATTATTATATTTTTCTGCCCTTTTAATATTTCCTTCTCTGGGGGGGCTGACTTCCCACACCACAATCCCAGTTACACCACTGCTGGTCCTTCTCAGTGTTTCTTCTGGGGTCCAGATCACGATCAATGCTGCTGTTCTAATTCCATACAAGCCCAGCAAGAGATAACCAGAACTACTGGGAGATTTCTAAGGCTTTCCTGTCTCTTGCGTATCACCAGCGAGCCGG